AATCGGGACATCAAATGTTTTAGGTGTTTGGGAATGGGGCATATTGCTTCTCAATACCCAAACAAACGGGCGATGGTGTTGTGGGATAATGGAGAGATTGTGAGCGATAGTGATGGCGAGTTTGATGACATGCCGGCGCTGGAGGGTGTTAGTGAAGAAGAAAAAGTTGAAGGGCTGGTTGGGGATCTATTAGTCACAAGGCGAGCTCTCACTACTCACATCAAAGCGGATGACTTGGAGTTGCAACGGGAGAACATTTTCCACACTCGATGCCATGTCAACAATATGGTAAGTATTGTTATAATTGATGGTGGTAGTTGCACTAATGTAGCTAGCGTATCTCTTGTAGAAAAATTGGGTTTAAAATTGTTGAGACACCCGAGACCTTATAAATTGCAATGGTTGAATGAGAGTGGCGAGGTGAGGGTGAATCAAAGAGTGTTAATTGATTTGTCAATTGGGAGTTATAAGGATGAGTTAGTGTGTGATGTGGTGCCAATGCAAGCGGGACATATTTTATTGGGGCGACCATGGCAATACGATAGGAAGGCTATGCATGATGGGTACAAAAATTGATATAGTTTCATTAAGGATGGAAGGACCATTACTCTTGTGCCATTAACACCGGCGCAAGTCTATGAAGACCAATTAAAATTGAGAAGTGAGGAAAAGAGGAGAGCAAAAGAGTTAGAAAAAAATGAGAGCAAATAGTGAGTTGGAGAAAAAGAGAGAAAATGTTGAGATAGCCATTAGAGAGAAAAAGAGAGAGCAATCACAAGAGAGAAAAGAAAGAGAGTGCCCCAAGAGAAGAGAGAAAACACGAGTAAATTTCTTTGCAAAAGAGAGTGATTTGAGAAGGGCGGTAGTTGAGAGAAGAGAGATGATCTTGTTCGTTTATAAGGAATCACTCCTCAATTTTGAGGAAACTAACCCACCCCTCCCTAGTTTGGCTAAGTCTTTGTTGCAGGAATTCGACAATGTATTTTCGGAGGATGCACCCAGTGGATTGCCGCCTATTCGAGGCATTGAACATCAAATTGACTTCATACCCGGAGCTGTCATTCCAAATCGATCGGCTTATCGAAGTAATCCTGAGGAGACTAAGGAGCTTCAAAGGCAAGTGGAGGAGTTAATGAGCAAAAGATACGTGAGGGAAAGCATGAGTCCTTGTGCGGTACCGATTTTGCTTGTACCAAAAAAGGATGGAACATGGTGAATGTGCGTGGATTGTAGGGTTATCAACAACATAATGGTAAAGTATCGTCACCCTATACCTAGGTTAGATGACATGCTTGATGAATTATATGGTTCTTGCATATTGTCTAAAATTGATTTAAAAGGCGGGTATCATCAAATTCGTATGCGGGAGGGTGATGAATCGAAAATGGCTTTTAAAACTAAATATGGTTTATATGAATGGTTGGTTATGCCGTTTGGACTCATAAATGCACCTAGCACTTTTATGCATTTAATAAATCATGTTTTACGTGCTTTTATAGGAAAATTTGTGTGGTTTATTTTGACAAAATATTAATCTATAGCAAAGACCTAGGAGAGCATTTGGAACATTTAAAGTATGTGCTAATTGTTTTAAGGAAAGAACAACTCTATGCTAATCTTAAGATATGCACATTTTGTATGGATAGAGTTATATTTCTTGGATTTGTGGTTAGTACTAATGGGGTAGAAGTAGACGACGAAAAGATAAAAGCTATCAGAGATTGGCTGACGCCTAAAAGCATAACGGAAGTTAGGAGTTTTCATGGTTTGGCTAGTTTTTATAGGCGATTTGTGAAGGATTTTAGCACTATCACTGCACCACTCAAGGAAGTAGTTAAAAAGAGTGTAGGTTTTCATTGGGGTGATGAACAGGAACTTGCATTTAATACTATTAAAGGTAGATTGTGTGAAGCAGCTGTTTTGGCATACCTAATTTTGACAAAACATTCGAGATTGAGTGTGATGCATCAAGAATAGGGATTGGAGCAGTTTTAATGCAGGATCAGAGGCCTATTGCATACTTTAATGAGAAATTGAGTGGAGCCACTTTAAATTATCCTACATATGACAAAGAACTTTATGCACTTATTCGAGCTTTGGAGACTTGGCAACATTATCTATGGCCGAAGGAGTTCGTAATACACACCGATCATGAGTCACTAAAGTACTTGCGGGGACAAGGTAAATTGAACAAGAGGCATGCACGGTGGATGGAATTCATTGACACCTTTCCATACGTCATTCGGTATAAGCAAGGTAAGAAAAATGTGGTGGTGGATGCGTTGTCGTGAAGGTACGTATTGCTAACTACTCTTGATTCTAAGTTACTTGGGTTTGAACATATTAAGGAATTGTATGAAAAAGATGTTGAATTTTCTGATATTTATTTGTCATGCATAAAAGGGGTGGTTGATAGGTTCTTTAGGCATGAGGGGTATTTATTTCGGGAAAATAGGTTATGTGTTCCTAATTGTTCTATTCGGGAGTTGTTAGTAAGGGAGGCACATAGTGGTGGATTGATGGGACACTTTGGGGTTCAAAAGACTTTAGATGTATTGAAGGAGTATTTTTATTGGCCTAAGATGAAAAGTGATGTTGAGCGAATTTGTAGTCGATGCATAGTGTTGTCGATTTTTATTTCACAAGTGTACGACCCGTAACAAGTAATAGTCGACCTAAGAGTCCGGTTATCGATCCCACAAGGACTATTTTCTAGCACTTAATTTAATCTTTCCTTAACTACTATTTGATGAATATAAATCAAAGGTTATAAAATCTGGGCTTTAATCTAAATTCTAGAAGATGTTAGGGTAGAATAACTTCACCAATTGATCACCTTTACATCTCAAATTAAAACTCAATTCTAATGTAGCGCTCGGTCGAATTCTCCTATTGTATTCAATTTACCCTTCTCGAGTTCTCATTGAGCCTATTTAACTAATTAAATTTCATATCTCTATGCAAATTCAACTTAATTAAACGAGTTCTATGTTTTAGGAATTCAATTTTGACCGCAATAAATGATATAGGTATCTCTACTCGCTATACCAATGTATTGGATTTTACTACATGGTCTAAATCCTAAACTCATATCTCTATTTGTAAAGAATTCACAAAAATCATCAAATTATTAATCAGGTAATTTAATGCATTCAACTCATAGCAAAATCAACACATGGAAGAATTAAAAACTGAAAGTCTTAATAAGAAAATGCAAAAGATCCCAATTGGTTACATTATTCCCCCTAACAATGAATTTAGCTACTCATAATACAAGAAGAAAAGAAGGAATTTGTCTTAGAATACATCACCAAGTTTGAAATAAAGATGTAAAAGAAAAAGTGGAATTCTTGCACCAAGATCTCCTTCCTCTTCCAATGAATGCTTCCAATCTTCAATTCTTGGTGTTAATCTTCTTAAATTTTTCCTTTGAATCTCCTTTCTTGTTGTTTTCTCTCCAATATCTCAAGAACGCGTGGCTTGAGTCCATAGATTTTTAGTGTGCGGCTCTCCCCTCTAATTTAGGTCTTCCATTCTGTGTTTATAATGTCTTGGAGTTTTTGGAAGATTTTGAGATGAGTTGGGCCGAAAAAGAATGGTGAAAACCTAAAAAAATAACTCTCGCACGGCGGCGCCTGGGCGCTGCAATTTGGGTGCCTAGGCACTGACTTTCTGTCAAAATTTCAGTATCATGGCGCCTGGGCGCTGAGGAGTACTTCAGTTGCACTGGACAGCTTTCAATATTTTTATCATAACTTTTCCGTTTGATATCCAATTGAAGTGATTCAAGATGCGTTGGAAAGAAAATTCAAAGGACTACAATTTTTTTTCAGGAATCATTCTCCAATTCGATCGTTTTCTATGTCAAAAATGAGTCTAAATGTGAGATGAAAACTCCGGCACAAAACTTTTTGGTTGGAAAATGATTTATGATCATATCTTGACTAAATTTGATCCCTTTGACACTTTACTTCATCCAATTGGCTTCTAGAACTCTCGGACCTTCATTTCAAGTTTCGACATGACTTTTGATTAATTGCATTTTAATCCTCGAACTTTAGATCTCTTACGTTTTGGTCATTTCATCCAATTTCACTAGCTTTTGCCTATTTCCTTCCTTTGACCTCTTTTAGCTCTTGTTTTCTCCAATTCCATCAATCTACAAAACAACAACAAATCACTTGTTAGCACTTCTAAAATACTCTCCAAGATAGCAAAATCATGAAATTAATGGCATAATATAATGAATGTAAATCACTCATCAAACACCCCCAAACTTAATCTTTTGCTTGTCCTCGAGCAAACACCAAAACCCATAAAAATAATTAATGGACGCACAAGCACAACTAAGACAAACAAAATCACTTAAAATAAATTTCGCTAGATAGCTTGCCTTCATGTTTGAGAATTAAAAACATAACTTCGATTTCATGAACCACTTCAAAGCTATATTGCAAAAGTTAAATTCTTGCCTATTCAATGCACAATGGGTGTGTGTGTGTGTGGAGAGTCAAGTGCAACGCTGTACAATAATAAGTTGACCCAATTTCCGACCTTAGAAGTCAAATTTTTCCTTACTTTGCTCGTGGGATTCACACACCCCCTAACTTATTTTCTTTTCTCTTTCTAAGGGTGTAACCTAAGGTCAAATTTTCAATACTAATTTCTTACACCACTCAAGTTTGGTTAGATTTTACTGATTGTAGTTCCACATGTCAACAAATGAGGATTCTCCTTATTTTTGACTGCTTCAACCTCTAGGAATCAACCAAGTTACTTACCCCTTATCAAAGGTCTAATCCTTTAAAACAAGTGTTTGGGGCTTAATCAAGGCATTTGATATCCATTTTTTTAATTTTTTTTCATATATATCTTTATTCTTTAATCACTCTTTGTGCGGACGTCTCTCCCTTAAGCTTTCTAAATGACCCCTGTAGCAAGTTTTAGGCCGATAACTCCCAAATCAGATGGCTTTAGGGCACCAGGTTTTAAACCCTTACAAGCTTAATCACTGGAGTCATAAAGGCTATGAAGAGACGATTCACAATGAGATTTTTAAAGTTGTCCTCATTGGGATCTTTTTTTTTATGCGATGATTAGTGAAATGCCCCTTATTAAACACCTATCCTCGAAAATCGACCTCTAACTTAAGGTTTTCACCCAATTTTCATCCTATTGGTCTCAGACAATCCACACAAAAATTAACACACACGAAATCCACAATTATCTCCAAACTTCCCTACAACAGTGCAATCATCCAAACGTCCTAAGTTTGGTTTAAGGGTATTGTGATGTTTAATGGTTGTTTGGATTTAGCATCTAAGTTCTCTATTTCAACCTATAAACGTGAATCTACCTCCTCATGCACAACGCTACAATCAACTCACGTGCAAAAAAATCATTTTCGTTTCACATGAATAAGCAAAAATCTAACTCAAACACATAACTCGTCCACAATTCATAAATCAATGCATGTTCTCAATTACACATATCAATACCGGTAAGGTTATCTAACACACAAAAGCATGTAAAAACATGAAATGAATTTTTTTTAATAAAAACACAAACACATAAAATAAGCAAATCACACATACGCATTCGAGAAACTCAACAATGTAAGCAAATGATGTCACTCCCCCAAACTTAACTGAAACATTGTCCTCAATGTGAAATTTAAAGGAAAAGGATGATGACTTCCCTGAAATGTCAATATTGCTTATGATGTTGTGGTGTCTTGGTGTTGCATTTGATTGACTCTTCTTCTACATTTTCCCCCAAACTTGAGATTTTCTCATTTTCTCCATGTCCATGTTGGTTTGAGTGTTCCGTGACGTCATGTTTCTAAAAAATTAAATTTGAAAAATTAAACTCATGGAACAAGGATTACTTAGCCCAAACATCTAATAACCAACTTAATTACTCCAAGACCTATGGGTAGAAGGTGTATGGGTGATGTTCATAAATAAACTATAAATTAAACTATCTTAGAACTTTGAAAACAAAATAAATAAAATAAAATAAAATAAAAGCTTGGGTTGCCTCCTAAGAAGCGCTTCTTTTAAGTCATTAGCTTGACTTGTGCCGCTGGTTTATCATGGTGGCTCAAACCAAGTTATTCCATCATTGCACTCTGTGCAATTTTCATTGATGCGGTCCTTTTTTGCTCTCCAAATTTTGATTTGTCCATTCTTATCTCTACCAAGAAGTTCTCCAAAATTTATTTTTTTATTCTGACAGCTTCATTGATCAAGTGGCTCTTCTTCATCAATTCTATAGCAGTCATTTTTATTGGGAGGTTTCTCATATTGGATGTAAATATTGAATATCTCCTACTTGTCCTCCACCCTCAAGATTAGTTATCCCTTCTCCATGTCAATAAGAGTTCGTCCCGTTGCTAAGAATGGTCGACCCAATATAATTGGAATGTCTCGATCTTCTATTATGTCCAATACAATGAAATCCACAGGAAATATTAAATTTCCTACTTTGACGAGTACATCCTCAACTTTGCCACGTGGCCTTGTTCCATCAGCGAGTTGTAGTGTTATTGATGTTGAGTTGACTTCACCTAGTCCCAATTTCCTATAAGCAGAATACAACATTAGATTGATACTAGTACCAGTGTCACACAATGCCTTAGCTGAATAGGAATTTCCAATTGAAACTGGTAAAGTAAAACTCCCTGGATCCTTCAATTTAGGAGGTAATTTTCTCTGGACTCTTGCACTACTTTCCTCAGTTAATGCCACGGTTTCAAACTCTGGAAGCTTTCTTTTCTTTGTGAACATCTCTCTCAAAAATTTCTTATAGCTTGGAATTTGTAGTATCACATCTATGATCGGAACATTGATCTGGAGCTTCTTGAGAACATCGAGGAATTTTTCATAGTTTGTGTCTTGTTTGTTCTTCTTAAGCTTTTAAGGAAAGGGAATGGGAGGCATGTAAGCTTTGCTTAGACTTGGTGTTTTGGCAGCTGATGTTTCTGTACCTTCTCTATTTTCAGTTGCATTTGGTGCAAATTTTTCTACCCTTGTAGCTTCATCAATCACTTCTTGGTCATCTTTTCTTTTGGGTCTCTCTGTAGTGATCTTTGGTGATTGTACCTCACTCTTTGTATTTATGACATGAATATTTTGCTCCATCGACTTCTTTCGAAATCTTTGGAGAAACGAAAGTGGAGGTACATATGCTTTAACTTTTACGGGGGCCCTGGGTGGATCATTCTCCACTACTTCAATTGCCATCAACTGTTCCTTAGGATTTATCATTGTATTGCCTGGCAATGTCCCTTGTGGATGTTCTGCAATTTGTTGTGCTATCTGACCAATTTGTGTCTCCAGTTTTTTGATGGATGCCTGCTGATTTTGAAAGTTCATGTTAATTTGCTGGAACACCTTGTTCATCTTCTGCACATATTGTTGAAACATCTCCCCCAAACTTAGTCTTCTTTCTTGTTAGAAATTGTTACCATATGAGTTGAAATTACGGGAGTTATTTTAAATAAAGTTTACTTGTTCCTCTAAAGACATGAGCATCATGCAGCTCTCTGTAGCATGATTTCTCCCACAAATCTCACATACTGAACTAGCCATCGTTGCATTTGCTCCATGTGTTTGCAATTTTACAAGTAACTCTACCTGTTTTGTTAAAGCTGCTATCTGTGCATTGGTAGATGTTGGGCTGTCTAATTCACACATTCCTTCTGCCTTTGGTGGTACCACTCTTTCTAATGAGAACATTGAATGTGTGGTGGCAATTAACTCAAAGAGGTCAATGGTTTGTTGCATTGATTTCCCTATGATTGATCCTCCAGCAGAGGCATCAACTTGAGATTTTGACAATGTTGTAAGTCCAGTGTAGAAGTACTGTACTTGGTTTCCTTGAGTGATTCCATGGTTTGGACATTTTCTCATCAGCTCATTAAATCTATTCCATGCCTCGTGATAGCTTTCTCCCTCTTTCTGTTGAAAAGTTTGAATTTCCAATCTGATTTTAGTTACTATGGCTGGTGGGAAGAATTTGTTGCAGAATTTCCTGATCAGTTCTTCCCATGTAGTAATGCTGGCATGAGGCTCCGCATCTAACCACTCCAATGCAGCATCTCTCAATGTAAATGGAAATAGTCGTAATTTAATAGCTTCTTCATTGACCCCCGGAGCATGGAAGTTCTGACAATTTCTGAGAAATCTGGAGATATGTGTGTTTGGATTCTCATGAGGTAGCCCGTAGAATTGCAGAGTGTTGCTCATCAAGTTAATCCAATCCGGCCTGATCTGAAAGTTATTCACCCCAAAATCTGGATACACAATACTGGAGCGCTTGGGTGCTGCTATAGGTGTCAGGAACATTGATACTGGCAAATCACCTTCATTTATTTCCCCTCGCTCATGTTGCTGTTCTGGTGGTGCCACCACTCTTGCGGCCATTTGCCCAATCGACTGAATAGGGATATGGATTTGTTGATTGTCAGCCATTTGTTGTTGCTGTTTTTGTTTTTGTTCCTTGCGTCTTCATCTGAAGGTACGTTCTATCTCTGAATCAAAAGGTTCAAGATCGTCGCCTTGGGCACGGAGCATACAATGAACACAATTTTCTGTAATTAAAAGAAAAATAAACAAATCAAATAAGAGCCAAAATAAAAAAATAAATTATGATTAAAAGAAATAGTCCCCGGCAACGGCGCCAAAAACTTGTTGTAAAATTTTATCCCGCAAGTGTACGACCCGTAACAAGTAATAGTGGACCTAAGAGTCCGGTTATCGATCCCACAAGGACTATTTTCTAGCACTTAATTTAATCTTTCTTTAACTACTATTTGACGAATATAAATCAAAGGTTATAAAATTTGGGCTTTAATCTAAATTTTAGAAAATAAATGAATGTTCACACGATTTGTTGGAGAATCAAATACTGAAAGGATGTTAGGGTAGAATAACTTCACCAATTGATCACCTTTACATCTCAAATTAAAACTCAATTCTAATGTAGCGCTCGGTCGAATTCTCCTATTGTATTCAATTTACCCCTCTCGAGTTCTCATTTAACCTATTTAACTAATTAAATTTCATATCTCTATGCAAATTCAACTTAGTTAAACGAGTTCTATGTTTTAGGAATTCAATTTTGACCGCAATAAATGATATAGGTATCTCTACTCGCTATACCAATGTATTGGATTTTACTACATGGTCTAAATCCTAAACTCATATCTCTATTTGTAAAGAATTCACAAAAATCATCAAATTATTAATCAGGTAATTTAATGCATTCAACTCATAGCAAAATCAACACATGGAAGAATTAAAAACTGAAAGTCTTAATAAGAAAATGCAAAAGATCCCAATTGGTTACATTATTCCCCCTAACAATGAATTTAGCTACTCATAATACAAGAAGAAAAGAAGGAATTTGTCTTAGAATACATCACCGAGTTTGAAATAAAGATGTAGAAGAAAAAGTGGAATTCTTGCACTAAGATCTCCTTCCTCTTCCAATGAATGCTTCCGATCTTCAATTCTTGGTGTTAATCTTCTTAAATTTCTCCTTTGAATCTCCCTTCTTGTTGTTTTCTCTCCAATATGTCAAGAACGCGTGGCTTGATTCCATAGATTTTTAGTGTGCGGCTCTCCCCTCTAATTTAGGTCTTCCATTCTGTGTTTATAATGTCTTGGAGTTTTTGGAAGATTTTGAGATGAGTTGGGCCGAAAAAGAATGGTGAAAAACTAAAAAAATTACTCTCGCATGGCGGCGCCTGGGCGCTGAGAACTACTTCGGTTGCACTGGACAGCTTTCAGTATTTTTATCATAACTTTTCCGTTCGATATCCGATTGAAGTGATTCAAGATGAGTTGGAAAGATAATTCAAAGGAATACAATTTTTCTTCAGGAATAATTCTTCAATTCGATCGTTTTCTTTGTCAAAAATGAGTCTAAATGTGAGATGAAAACTCCGGTGCAAAACTTTTTGGTTGGAAAATGATTTATGATCATATCTTGACTAAATTTGATCTCTTTGACACCTTCCTTCATCCAATTGGCTTCTAGAACTCTTGGACCTTCATTTCAAGTTTCGACATGACTTTTGATTAATTGCATTTTAATCCTCGAACTTTGGATCTCTTACGTTTTGGTCGTTTCATTGAATTTCGCTAGCTTTTGCCTATTTCCTTCCTTTGACCTCTTTTACCTCTTGTTTTCTCCAATTCCATCAATCTACAAAACAACACCAAAATCACTTGTTAGCACTTCTAAAATACTCTCCAAGATAGCAAAATCATGAAATTAATGGCATAATATAATGAATGTAAATCACTCATCACATAGGTTGTAAAAAGGCTAAATCTAAGGTTTTACCACAAGGTTTTTACACACATTTACCTACACCTAGTGAGCCTTGGGTTGATATCTCAATGGACTTTGTTTTGGGTTTACCTAGGACTAAGAGAGGTCGGGATTCTATTTTTGTGGTTGTAGATAGGTTTAGCAAAATGACACATTTTATACCATGTCACAAAACTGACGATGCCACGAACATTACTGACTTATTCTTTAAAGAGATTGTGCGTTTACATGGGGTTCCTAGAAGCATAGTGTCGGATCGGGATATCAAATTTTTGAGCCACTTTTAGAGAGTTTTGTGGGGTAAGTTAGGCACTAAGTTACTATTTTCCACAACTTGTCGCCCACAAACAGATGGACAGACCGAGGTAGTGAATAGGACTATAACACAATTGTTATGCACAGTAATTAATAAAAATTTGAAGAGTTGGGAGGAGTGTCTACCATTTGTTGAATTTGCATACAATCGAGCTATTCACTCTACTACATCATATTCTCCATTTGAAATTGTATATGGTTTTAATCCACTAACTCCTTTGGATTTAATTCCTTTACCTATGAATGAACATGGTAGTTTAGATGGAAAAAAGAATACGGAATTGATTAAGTCACTCCATGAAATGGTAAAAGCGCAAATTGAAAACAAAAGTAAGTTGGTTGCGTCGCAGGCGAACAAAGGTAGAAAGAGCGTGACATTCGAGCTAGGAGATTGGGTTTGGGTGCACCTTAGGAAAGAGCAATTTTCGGAGCAAAGGAAGTCCAAGTTGCAACCGAGGGGCGATGGTCCATTCCAAGTGATAGAAAAGATAAACGACAATGCTTACAAGTTGGACCTTCTAGGTGAGTACAATGTTTCGGCTACTTTTAATGTATCTGATCTCTCTTTGTTTGATGCAGGTTCAGATTTGAGGACGAATCCTTTTGAAGAGGGAGGGGATAATATGATCTAGGAGTCGAGCCTGACGAAGGCAAGTGCGAGATGAGGCCCGTTGATAGTCGATGGTGGACCAATGATGCGATCAAGGGCAAAGCAAGTGAAACAAGTGATGGGATTGCTCGCTCAAGAAACCATTGATGGAACCATGTTCGGGACTCAAAATGGAGCAACTTTCATGTTCGGATCGAAGGCCGAATCAACTTGGATCAATTTGTTATCAAGCGACGAAACCAGAGGCTGAAAATAAGCGTGTGCGATCGCACAGCAAAAACACCATGCAGCCGCACAGTGGCATACCGAAACTTAAATTAGGATTTTTTGTTGAACCATGCGACCGCATGGAAATACACCATGCGGCTTCACAAGCCAAAAATTTGGCGAATTTTCCAATTTTGGCAATTTTTTGTATTTTATTATATTTTGATTCTTTTCCATATTTTGGAGATTATGCTCGACTTTTGCACGATTTTTACCTAGTTTTTAGGTTTAGTATAAATAGGAGTTTCCATTCAA